TAAAGACATTTTGGTTATTACAATAATAAATTCATTTTTTTTCCTTAGCTCCTCTTCCTTCCCCTTTGCAAAATCTTCAATCGGTATCCAGAGCAATTTACTCTTCTATTTGTGTTTTAACAAGTTTGAAAAGAGCAAATCACTTTGAAACTCCAGAGAGATTGCACAGGAGCTAAATGTTTTCCTTGGCAGATAACAGGATACGACGGTTGAGGTTAATTTAAACTTAGGTGTATAAAAATAAGTAAGTGCTGCACTGCCATCTTAAATCTACAGACTCCTTCCAAAAAGACTGCCTAATTTAAATAAAGAATGTATAAGGTAAGGCATCAACTACATACCAAATATGGAACCAACATTCACTCTTTCTTTTTATTCATAAAACTTTCATTTGGAGCATCGGTGAGAATGCCCCCTGCTTTTTTTCCAAACCAGAACAACAAAACCTGATCAATGCTTAGGAGTATTCAGTGCTTATTTTGGAGTATCATGACTGGATAATTTTTATGAGTTTTGAAAAGTTTTGTGGAAGACCCTGAAACCCACTATAGCAGTCAGATCATTATTGCAGACTATTATGTATATAGGCTTAATCCAAATCCCATTTGAAGTTGATGGAAAAACCCCCATGGCCTTCAGAGGCCTTTGGATGAGATCCTTTGTTTCCAGAGATACGGCACAGCAAAATTCAAACCTATGCAAAAGGGAAGAGTAGACGACTACTAAACAACCAGTAACGCTAATCTTTTTTTAAAAAAGACTTATTTTACAGAGGACAACTCAAAAAGATGCTTATCTTATATTTGATAGTATACATTTTTAAAAGACAGGCTGCAAAGGCCCTGATTCTGAACATTCCATTCCTGCAGATCTACCTACGAATTAAGGCACCTGAAACAGAACTATGTTCTATTTTGGAGATCGTAAGCCAAATTTTAATGAAATCCTACTAGTACTGTGGTCACTAGGAGATTTAAAATACTCTACCTGAGTGCAGGAATAGCTGTGGAAAAAGTTCTGCTTCGTTCCTTGGAAAACCACAAATTAGCCTGCTTGCTAGTGAGAACTTCCAGGCCAGGTTTATTAGTGATTCCACAAATGTGGACACATACTACCTGAGTGAATATCTGGGTAGAGGGGGATTGCTCCAAAGCCCGTCAAACTCAACAGAATTCATCCTGTTGTGCATCAGGCAGAGTCAGATGCATAAACAAGTACAGATTTGCACAGCCAGTACAGTTTACACTACTATAAACTCGGGCCTTGCAAAAGTGCGTGTGCACTTGAAAACATCTACCCCGCCATTTTATATCTACCGGGATCACTCCGGTTACAAATGTCTATTGTGCTGGCTACAGGGATTTAAACTTTTTGTCTTCTGGCTGCAATCATACCCAATAAATGAACACCTATCTTTGCAAAAATCTAATACACTGCTATATGATCATATATGTAACTATAAACATGTTCTACAGTATGTCTTATTTGAGAAACAAAGGGAAATCATTATTTCTAAATTATTATATTTTTTTTTCTTCTCAGACCGGTACAGGCCCCACAAATCAAAATTAAAACTGTATGGCAGTATTGCTTTGTTACACACATTAGACCTCCACAGCACCCACCACTGCAGGGGGGGGAAGGAGGGAGGGCTGATTACCTGCACCTGTTTCAAGCTGCAAGCGACTGATGCAGTTAGTAGGAAAAAAAACCCATGCCTAATTAGAGTGCATTTCCATTTTCTCGAGGGAAGGTGCCACCATCAGGGGCCTGCCCGTGCCCTCAGCACCCATGTGCCCAGGAGACTTGGAAGGTTGCCCTGGGAGGCAGCAAGGCCCTGCCGAGGTTTCTCAAGCCTCCGGAATATGTCCCAACATCAAAAAATATACATTTTTTTTTTTTACTTCAAAAGAAATCTGGATGAAACAAGGCATTCCTTCCACCCCTCCTTTTACTTCTCTTTAGCTGCTACAGAATGCTTATGAATACTTGGCACGTACTAGGAGGGAGCAGTGCCGTACCAGCACAGCCACACGAAACGCAAGCCGGCCTTAAAGTCCTGTGTTTTCTTCTACAGGCCACCAAAATGAGAACTCTGGACTGTGCCCACGTCGGAGAGTGGGAACTCTGCTCCGTCCCCCTTCTTCTCTCCACCTCCTCCCTGCTCCCTCTCCTTTACCCACAATAAAAATCTCCCTCCAGCTCATCCACGCCCGGCAAGCGTTTGTCCGGAACAAAATTCCGGTTCACCTCAAAAAAAAAGTTCAGCCTGAATAAGGAGGCCACACGTTCCCGTTTTGTCACCTGGGAAAGTAACCCCTCGGGCCATAACCCATCTATTTTGTGTCAGAGGCTCCCCCCTGTCTCCCGGCCTAGCACGGACACTGCTCCCTGCCCAGCGCTCCCCATGGCTCTCGGGCCTAGAGCAGATCCACCTCTCCCTCCTGCTCCCTCCGCCTTGGCATCGCTCGGCAAAAGCCGTATTTTTAGTCGAGATAGGTGGGAGTTTAAGAATAGACTGTTCATTTATCAGCAACACCTTAAATATCCTTTCGGAGGATAAAAAGCCATTTGGAGG